TGTTTTAATGGAATGTGCTGAATGCCTATAATTTTGTTCAGATGACTGCAGAATCTGGAAAAGCTGTTACTGCTATTGATGCATAATATACTGCTATTATTAGTCTTTTTATATAAATATAAATATATATATACATATATTTATATAAATTGAATTTTGGGAAACTTTAATGGTGCTGCCAACTTTGGAAAAAGTCATCCCAATTTACTGTGTTGAGTTGGCATTGTACAGAAATGGACAGCCATATTGGTCTAGAAATGTTTATTTTTTATTTTTTTTCCACGTGTACAGAGGTAACACATCATACTAAATATGTAAGGTCATATCTACGTGGGTTTGATTAAAGAAACTAATAAAGTATTCTCTAAATAATGAAAAAAAGAATAAGATAAGACTACAAGAGCAAGAAGCAATTTAAATATATTCAGGGACCATTTTTATCTCCAGAATTAAGGATTATTTTAATGTTACATCATTGCTTTTTCTCTTTTATTTTCCTTTTTAGTTTCATTTTAGGATTACCTATTTTTAATGTTCATAGAGAGATTTCTTTAACTGAAATACCGAATAGTTTCTTTGGTGTGAAAACTATAATAGTACACAGGATCCTAATGAGATAATTAATAATGTGAAATAGGAAGTAAAGGGCTAAAGGTGTAGGGAAAGTGGGAAGGGTGGGGGAAAGGTAATAAGGGAGAGGAAAAAATATGAGAAACTGAAAAAATGAAAATAAAGTGTTTGTAAATGGGGAGGGGAGGAGGGGGTGAAGAGAGGGCAGGGACAAGGGGAAAAGAGAATCAAGACCTATCATGTAAAGGTACAGGATTCCAATAATGAATGTAACTGTATTGTATACCTAGATTGTACCAATAAACTCAATAAAAAGAAAAAAAAATTAACAAAGATAAGGAAAAATTAGAACAAGAGGATGAGAGAGCATGTAGTCATGATTTTTCTGTGGTGAAAGAAGAAAAGCTTTTTGTTGTTGTTTTTTGTTTTTGCAGTACCAACAATCAAACTCAGGATCTTGCACTTGCAAGGCAGGTGTGGGTGGCACCACTGAGCTAAATTCCCCACCTGGTTTTTTGTTTTGTTTTGTTTTAAGAGAATGTAGATCTGGACCAGTGAAGTCTGGCAGACATAAAAACTGGATAATTTGGCAATTGAAAACTTAGACACCATATGGCACCAGATCTCAGAACAAGAAGACTGAAGAAGACAGGACTTGACATAGAGCATTTAAGTACTGGGTTTGCTTTTGGTGGTTTACGTCTTACTGTATTTCATCTTCATTTTGGGTGGTAGTGCTGTGTGTGGGTGTGTGTCTGTGTCTGTGTGTACACTATAGCAGGTTGTAGAAGACTCTCTGCTAATTGCTGTAGGGACAAAAGCCACAGGAAGAAAGGAGACTTCAGTTCTCAAGGCTTAAACACAAGTTCCTACTGCTTCAAAGAGACACCAAATCACAAGAATTATTCTGTTTCTCCACCCTATAGAGAAGTCATAGAAACAAAAATGGCAGGGGAAGAAGGGAAAGAATAGGAAAAATGTATTTTGCACTACCTAAAAGGAAAGGTGGTTGTTTTGGGGAAAATCATCTTCATACTATGCCTCCAGTAAGTTGGAGTCTGATGCCAACATTTGGTTTCTTACTTTGTTACCCATTTTCTGCAGAATACATGAATATTTCCAGAACTTGTGACTTGTGATATTTAATTTTCTTCATCTCCAATACTTTGAATGTTCTTTCAGTAATAATAGACTGGAGCTTATCTGTATCCTGAACAATTTTATAAAACCAAATAAACTGCTGAGCAGAGGAGGTAGGCTTATTTGCATTTAATTTTTTTTCTTAAAGAGAAATTCTGCCACCCTATGGACAGAAAACAATGATTTATTTGTTTGAGATTCACCACAGAACACTGTTATAAGCACCTGCCCGTGAAAATAAACATTTTAAAAGCTATTCTTTTTAAAAAGAGGGATAGGGTGGAGGTAAGAATCACAGATGCTTTAGATAGCATAGACAAGATCTGAAATAATCATTTAAAATATTAAATGGACTCTAATGAATTTTTAACTGAGGAAGAAACAATCTCAAAGCATATTAAAGAAAAAACTCTACTATTAAATGCATAACCTTTCAACAATGATTTTGTAACCTATATTTTGGCTCCCCAGTTTGCAAGAGCTGAGTAGAGATTTTTCACACAATCCCAGCTGTGTACATTTGCCTTTATTGGCTTAAACATATCCACATTTATATTAAATATAAACATATGCATATATCTGTTGGTTTTTACTCAGTGCTAACTGAACATGAGGGCAGTGAAGTTTCAGCCATCTGAGGGAAATCGGCCACGGGGCACAGGCAGTTTATCTCTGCAGGCTGCCTGCTCTCCCCCTGGGCAGGGAGCGCTTCATGTCACGTAGATGAAACTGAACAATGCACGCAGGAGTATGATCATTCTCGGCAAAAACGCTGGGCAAATCCAAACACATACCACACCATTTTTATAAATAACCAGAGGGAAGATGCAGAAGGACACAGAAAACTGTACCTGGGCTTAGCAACAGGGTTCAGATGCTTCTGGTCTTGAAGCACCTTGGCCAGCTGTTTTTGCAGAAACAGAACCTTTCCGTGAGCTTCTTTAATAAATGGGTGGTCCAGGAGCTGTGTGACAGAAGGCCGCTTTTCAAAATCCTTAATAAGACACCTGTTTGCAAAAAATCAACAATCAAAAGCACAGTCTGAGACACCCTATTCCCCGGTGAACAGTGAGAGAGGAGGAGAGAAGATTCGTTTATAAACCCTCATCATGCACCATACACAAGTCTTTCTTTATTAATACCAGAAAGTAGGAAAAATATTAGTTGAAGACAATCAGAAATATATGTAGTTTGTTTTAAGCAAATATTTAATACACAATCAATTTACTTGGAAATACTAAAAATATTGAAAAATAGACTAGTCAGACAATTTTCTTATTTTTCATTACAGAGAAATGTTTTCAATGGACACAAGGTGACAAGTCTATGTTTTACTTTATAGCATCTAGAATTAAATACTATCATCCCAAGTGAATCTTAAAATATGAAACATCCATCATTTAGTAGCAGGGAAAGTTCATTTATGAGCTTGCAAGAAAAGAAACAAACAGAAAGTCCAGAAGCTTGATTTCTAATGTCTTCTGAAGAAGCAGAAAAACCTCAGAACAGGAAGTGACTACCATATAATTCTGATGAATTGGGATGGAATTAGGTAAGCAGGGAACAAAAAGTCCTTTCAAAATGGTAAATTTCAGGTTGCTTTTAAACTCCTCTGTGGTTAATTGGTTAAAACTACACCAGTGTAACCACTTTCTGTTTCAGATTCAATGCCCTTTTCAAAGAAAACAATGACTTAATACATTTTGCTGCATGCTCTGTGAGACTAAAGATGATTCTGACACACAGAAATTCCTAGTGAAATGGAATTACCACCACATTTCTAATCTGTGTAGCTGCTCATGTTGAGAGGAAGAAATTTCAACATCCACCCTGCTAAGCTATTGTCTTTCTCTCCCACTGGAGGCTTAGAATAAACACTTGGTGCCATTCTGCACACTCCAAGAACTAAAGCTTCAGTTTTCCCAACACCACAAACATACAAAACATCACATTTTAAAAACGAGATTCACTAGGGCTGGGGATTTAGCTTAGTGGTTCCCCTGCCTGCTTTGCAAGCGTAAGGTCCCAAGTTCGATCCCCAGTACAAAAAAAAAATGAGATTCACTAACTAACAAATGGTAAAAAGCATCACCTTGAACATCTTTCCAGGGCATTTAAGCAGAATTCCTAAAGCAATCCTTAATAGATTTACAAGAAAAGCTCTATTTAACATTGGCAGTTTTTACTTCAAAACACTTTCACATCCCTCACCTTCTCATCCTGAAGGCTATTCGGTCACTTTCCCAGTTAGTCCGGCTGAGCACTGATTCAGGGGCTTTCCTGTCTCGTGGAGCTGTAGCCTGTATCTAGGAAAAGCAACAGTACCTAGACGCCCCCTGTGCTGCCCATGGAACTATAAATACCACCTCCACCTTGCCATGGGAAGAAATCAATCATTTGACTTTTATAGGTTTGGGCCCTTTTGTATAACCTATTGTATTTCCTATCGATAACACAAAAGCAGTGCACATACTAAAAAAAAGACAGTTCCAGTTTTCTCTTGACACCATGTATATTTATTTACGTGACTGTCAAAGGAAAATGAATGTAAATCACCATGTTTTCTGAGAAAGAAGAAATCCAACAAGTAGCTCTGAGATTAATAATATAGGCAATAGCCCTGTCTTCCGAGCCTGGGGGATGGTCTATGAAAATTCCTAAAATAAAAATAGTCACATGTCTAGACTGAGGTATTTGCCCTACACAGGGACAGAGAACTTGTTTCCCCACACAGTGCGTTTGGTTTTCTCCCTCTTCCTGTACTCATTGTGAAGCTGCATCTGATAACCCATAGGTCCTTGTTGAAAAGGGAAGGAAGCAAAAGGACCAGGGCAGCTGTCCCTGCTTACTGACCAGTGTCAAGATTTCAAATGAGCAAACTAAGGGGCTGAGGCTGAAGGAGGGAGGGGAGTGTCAATTAAGGAAAATGCCATGGCATGTGATTGGCCAGTGTTCTAGATGGGTCCTGAAGATGAGTTCCTTTGGGTACTTCAGGAAGTAAAGCTCTGGTATAGACACAAGAGAGACTAGGAGCCTTCATTCAGCCTTAAGACTAGGTCCCTCTTGGAGTCTAGGAATACAGTTGAAAGTGGTATGTTTTGTTTTACAATTTTAGCATCCACTGGAGAAAAAAAGACTTCCAACAGGGTTGCAAGATCATGTGCTACGTTAGTGAAGGTCTCTCTGGCTCACAGAGGGAATAAGAGTAAAGTGTGAATAATGAGTGAGAGAATCAGACAAGGAAGAAACCAACAAGTTAATCTGCTGTCTTGTGAGGATCCACAAAAATGAGAACAGTGGGCACATCGCTCCCTGGAAGCAATGACCAAGAGGATTTGTTAGTTCTCCTGGTGAGACTGGAGTGTGCTGAATGTCACATTATGAGATCAGCAAAAGTGAATCCAAGTGTGTATAGGAGAAATTCTAAGCAGCATTGTAACAAACCCGACCACGTTGGAGGGTTTTTAGATGAAAGGCAAGAAGACCTTGAAAGCATCCTAAACACTCCTGTGTGCTTTTTTCTCTTGGGGCTTAAGAGCCAGTAGGGGATTATCACTGTTTTGGTAAACAGAGGAGAGTTCTCCCTTAGGAGTAGTTAGGCCAAACATCATGCATTACTAGAAATAGGGCATTTACTCAGCAAAAATTAATTACATGGCATCAGAATCATCTAAAACAAACTGATCCATTAAAAAAATAATGAGCTATTTCCTCTACATTCACAATGTGATTGGAAAGATGGAAGGAAGAGAGAAACGGCAAAACCAGTGTTTGCTTATATATTTAGAGCAAGGACTAATAACACAAAAACATGAGTTTCAGAGCCATGGGGATTAAGGCTTCCTGCTCTAACCCTGTTTTCAGAGGTAAGATAACCGAAGTCAAGTCCTGACAGTGATGAAGTTGATGCCTCCCGCGGGACCCTTACCACTTGACTCCGTGCTGTTAAAAATGGCACAGCTGCAATGTGCAAAACAATACAGGGTGGGAAGTATGCTGCTCGGGGAGCTGAGGCAGAGAAGCTTCCTAGAGCTAGTAAGACTGGAGCCAAGTCTTGGGGGAACTAAGGTGAGCTAGGCTGATGGATAAGAGGAAAAAGACATTACAGAGTTGGGGAACTGGACCGGGCAATTCTCAAAACAAGACAGGCAGTGACTCAGGAAGCTGCCAGAATATTCACCTTCACAAGCTGACACTTTGAAACACCCAAGAACAATTACTGGCTTTAGTCCTTTTACCAACTCGTATTGTCTAAGTTTGTCAGCTCATCATTTTCATCCTCTTCTCCTTCTAGGCAAGATTTAAAGGATGAAAAAAGAACTTTTGAGACTGTTAGAACTCCTGAAAGCTTCCATATAGTTTTTAAAGCAGATGGTGTGGGGAACACGCTACATAAACACACCTCTCTCCTGATGTGGAGAACAAAGATGCAAAACTAAGGAAGTTGAATATACTTATTCATTTCAGGATTGCTTGTTAAGTCAGGAATTACAAATTGCAGGCATAGAATTATCTTCCTCCAGCCAGAGACTGAGCAGAATTTTCAAAAGGATACATAAAATGTTGAATTGCTATGGGAAATTGGGGCCAACCAGTGTGAGGTGAGCCCTTCCCGTAAGGAACACTAATGTCCTGGTCAAGGAAGACTGGGGACATCAGTGATCCTCTACATCATGTCACTGTGGAGCTTCATGACACACATGAGCATGTTACAGTCCTGGGATTAAGGAAATGCTTCCTTTTCTTTGATTCCATGTCTCCCCGTTTACTTGGCTACAGACTGTTTTTCTCTTGGTGTTAGTGGGCGCCCCAGATGACATCCTCAGAAGAGACATAGGTGGAATTGGAATTGGGGGCAGAGACGAGTCTTTCAGGTAAGCAGACTGAGGAGAGACTCAGAGAGCCCCAATTATCCCCACATCTGCAGGATCTGTGGTCTGCAGCCTGTACAGGGGACAGTGCCTCACCCAGAGGAAATCCATTCCCCAGCTTAGCAGTTCCCACAGTCTCCTGTTCTACAAAAAGAAATTAAACATAGACTAGCTTAGAAAAACTACTTTTCATCCTCCAAATCATTAAGTAAATCTTTCATTCCAAGATTGTTTTTTTCTTTTTAAAATTTGGCTTTGGATGCAGTTTCTCTGTGTTAAGGAACAAAACAAAACAACAAAATAAAAACTTCTTCAAACCATGAGGCATATATGAGACCCTGAATTTATAAGGCTATGGGAGCTGCTTTAGATATGATATAAAAATCCACCAGAGGTAAAAAGGAGTAATGTTCAGCCTTGAAGGAAATCAATCTATTACCTAATTTGAAATTCTAGTCCTTTCCATCATGCTTTCTTGGCTGAAGATTAATTCTCAGAATTCATTAGTGTCACCACATTAAACACAGGTTGTTGCAGCCATTTGCAGTGATCTTCCAGCCTGGCTTATGCCAGAAACAGGCAAGAAGGGGACATTTCTTAGCAAGAGGCAAGGTCAGGCTCTGGAGCAGAAGCTGCCTTCGCACTCTCTGCTTGCAGACATAATCCTAGACAGCCACACTGCCAAATGCCGTTTCATAACCCAAAAACCAGATGCCTACAAGGGGGAGCCATTTATCACGAGTCACTGACTGATGTTTACCCAAGAATAAACGCACTTGATATATAGAGCAGCTGAAAAAGCAAAAACTAAAAATACTGGTAAGCTTAATGAGAAAAGATTGAGTGACAGCAATCTTATCCCAGAGGGACAGAACCAGATCAGAACTCAGAATTCTCCTCTTCTCTCATTTCTCTATCAATCTGTCTTGCAGACTTTCTGCTATTTTCTTGCAGGCTTGCAACTTGTTAGTGTCCTGTTAGTACAGAATATCCAAACATTTTTTATTTGAGCAACGTTTCCCTGCCCTGTGATTCACTGTGATTCACAGTGCTGGCCTGCGGTTCCTATCATCATCAAACAGCAGCCTGACTGACAAAGAGGCCTCCACTTCAAGGGGAGAAAATCCTCCAGAGGG